TAGAAAACCACCAAGAGGGAACTTGAACAAACCCATTCACCAACAGGATCTGATACAGATGTCCCCACTCAGCAACAACAGAATGCATACTTACTTTTAAAATGTATTTCATTATTGCCTATTAATTTTGCAACATATTGGGTGCTAATGTGGCATTCTCATACATGCATGTATCATGTTCACCCTCCAATTACCTCTCCTTACAGCCGCCTTTCCCTGTGCCCTGCCTCTTGCCTAAAAACCGTCCCCCTCCCACTGTCATGCCCTTGTTTTACGAGCCCACATATTATGAAGGACATGTGACACTTGCCTTTCTGAGCCTGGCTTACTTTGTGATGATCTCCATTTCTATCCATTTTCTTGCCAATGACGTACTTCCATTCTTCTTTATAGCTAAATAATACTCCAGTGTATATTATACATAATATAGTACATCCACTGTACATGTAATATATATTGTATTTCCTTTATCCACCCATCTCTTGATGGACACCTAGGCTGGTTCCACATCTTGGCTACTGTGAACTGTCCCATGATAAACACAGGGATGCAAGTATTCCTATAGGATGCTGACCGATTCACTGAGGTGTAAACCGAGGAGTGGAACAGCGGCGTCATATGGTAGTTCTATTTTTAGATTTTTGAGGAATCTCCACACTGATTTCCATAGTATCTGTGCTAATTTGCATTCTCACCAGCAGTGTAGAAAGGTTCCTTTTTACCCTGCATCCTTGCCAGCATTTACTTTTACAGATTACATGTTTTTCCCAAGTATACATAGAACATTCTTTAAGATAGACCTTATGTTAGGCCATAAAACAAAGTGAAATATTCTTAAGAAAATTGAAATCACCAAACTGTTCCCTAAAAATGACAGAAAAAATGAAATATCAATGATATAAATAACTTGGTGAAATTCCCAAATATTAGCAAGTCAAACAACATGCTCCTAAATAACCCATGGGTCAGAGAAGAACATGCACTCTTAGAAAATATCTGAAATGCACGGAAACCAAAACACACCTGATCAGATTTATGAGATTTGACTAAGAAAGATTTCAAGGTCAATTTAAAGATTTTAATGCCTAATTAAAAAAAAAAGTTTCAAAAACAGAGCAAATTAAACCTCAAACAAATGGAAGATAGGAAATAATAAATATCACAGTGGAAATCAATAAAAACAAGAACAATAGAGAAAATTAGTGAGAATAAAACTTCATTATAGGAAAAGAAAACAACATGGGTAAGCCTTTAGCTGGCCTGGAAAAAAAGAGACAGAGTGAGACAGAGACAGACACAGAGACACACAGAGAGAGAGGGACAGAGAGAGAGAGAAAGCAATGAAAGAAGACCCATTACTATCAATCCAATAAAAATCAAAAGTCTTGTAAGGAAATGCTATGAATAACATATGGCAGCAAGTTAGACATCTTAGAAGATACACATTCTGAGAGACAAACACATCTAATTCAAGAAGAAATAGAGATACTGGACACAGATATTCCTTGTTTAACAACCTACCTTTTTCTAGCTCTTATTTATATAGTACTATAATTTTTCCTGATTGTGCTGTAGTTTCAGGTTCTATTATACATTACAATATTGCATGTAAGAGTTATGCAAATAAAGGCAAAGTCACGAAGTTGGAGTTTCCATTGATCATTTCTTTGTTCTGAATATTGTAATGTATGTACTATAGTGGCAAACATATGGCACGGGTGCCACGGCAGCCTGTTTGTTATCATTGAAAGGTCTAAAAGGTTCGCCATTACTGCTATAATTCCACATTTAGTGACCAATATGTTTATAGACCTACTTATAGGACCAGAACTCAGTCGTTAAACGAGAAGTGTAGTAAGTGAAGAAATTGAATTAGTAAGTGAAGTCTTTCAATTCTTGTCAGAAACAATCAGAATTCTATCGCACAAATGTGTATCCCTACACACACGCGCGCGCGTGCTCACACACACACACACACACACACAGTGTTTAAGTGACATTTGGGATGAAACAATGTTAGGAAATGTTAATTGATGCCAAAGAAGTGGTTAGGGAAAGTCTTTGAGACACTCTTTAATTCTTTCCAGGGAAGAATTAGTTGGGTACCACTTGGCATGAAGGCAGGATTAGCACCACATATGTATTTACATACAAAATGACAAATTAAAAATGTAAAAATTCCTTAAATAAATATCAAAATATTCAAAACTGAGCTGTATGTGAATATGTTATTTCAAATATACTTATTGTATTTATTTACTTTTGCTGTGGTGGGGACCGAAACCAGGACCTCACATAGGCTGGGCAAGTGGTCTACCACTGGACTACATCCTCAGCCCTTAAAGTTTCAAAAAAATTATGAAAACTAACAGTACTTAGAGAAGATAACCTTGTTACCCACGCTGCTTTGGAGAGTTCCAAAATAAAAATGGCAATTATTTCACGAGTCTGCTTGATTTTCACATCTTGATCTAATTTGTTGCACCTCCCTGGTTCCCTTCCAATAAACAACTCCTTCTGTATATCAGTGGCATTATGTTATTTTTTGAGATCTGAATCACTGAGAAGCTAAAGCAAGTCTGCATGTCCCATCTTGTCATTATGTACAGTGCTGTATATCTAATTAAAGCTTCTTACAGGTCCATAAAAAGACCTAACATTAAAAGGGCAACGTGTGTTGGAGAAAGCCCCAGGGCAGACTGGAGAAGGGGTTTCCTCATTAAAATAGGCCCATTTGCTTCAGTCCAAAGCTAAGTAATAATACGTTAATTTGTGCTTGAATGTTTTAAAACATTGCTGAAACACAAGCAGATCCTGATGTATGGTGTGGAACCGAAAATGGGTCATGTTCTCGCCAGCAGCACTCAGCATTCTGAGAAATATGGTAGATGAATAAATGATCTGCCATGTGGCCTCCTCTCTGGAAGAGAATTGGAACTGACGTTATTTAAATCAATTTACTATTTTGCCTTTCTCATGTATTGTTTTGCTCTCCTTAAGCTGTTGTTTTCCTTGGAGGACTTACTCAAAGTCCGAATCACACAGCAGCAGTAGAAATAACCCAGTTTTGAAGGGCTTGTGTCTTTGGGCATTGTTGTGTAGTCACAGTTACTTCTCAGGGGCTACAGACCTCGGGGTGAAGGGTGTCAATCCCTGGAGTTCCCCAGGGTGGCCGCTAGGGTGGTATTTTCTCTTGGTGACTGACTGGCTGCAGGTTTCCCTGACTAGTGAGCCTTCTTTAAGGGAAAAGTACATGGTCTTTCATTAAAAGCACAAATTCCACAAATCCAAGTTAGGAGCTCTTGCTTCATATGATGCTGTTAGCATTTCCATATCAAGAGATTACCCTTTCGTGGTCTTTCCGAGTCACAGTACTCCTGGAGGAACAGAGGCCCAATCTGAGGCTTGGCTGGCGCACTTCACCACCTGCTGCTACAACAGGAGGTGCCCTTTAACAGGAAGCCTTGAGTTGTTACCCAGAGTCAAAGGTTTGCACCCAGAAACAATCCTGCCTTGCTTCCCAGCCGTCTTCAGACTTGCAAAGCGGACGCTGTAGTCTCAAAGAACAGGCTTTTGACATTTGCAGGTCAGCAGATTTGCTAAGGCCGTCTGGGTTTCTCTTCTTCATCTGGTCAATTCGACTAGAGTTGGGGCATCTAAGCAGCTCTTCTCGCTTGTGTCCTTCTTTGCTAGGGGGCCTGTCCTAGGGGTGGGGAAATCTGAGGGGCACCTGGCTTGCTGGTGCTCCCTCCAGAGAGCTGATGCCGTGGCAGCCCGGCTTCCAGGAGCAGGAGTCCCTCTCCACCCGCTCCTGGGACGGCCAAGGCCCCTTCCTGGGCCGCTGCGAGCCATCCAAGGTCCGGTTCAGGCCAGGGTGGTTTGGATCCCGGCCATCCCGGCAGCCGCGTTTCTCCCGCGTCCTCGCAGAGCTCCTCTGGGCCTGACTGCGGTCGCCTGCCCACCTGAAGGCCAGTGCCACCTTCAGATGCTGGGCGCTTTCTTGTTGTTTTAATAGCGACAAAATCGGCAAAATTCCCTCGAATTGGGTCCTCAAAGAAAGAAACAGTGCAGAAAAATGCACCGTGTGCACAGACGCACAGATGCCCCCTCCTTGCATAAGCCTAGGTGGGAGGCCGGGTGAACCCTAAGGGGTGGCGTGCTGGGCCCCTCCCATCCCCGAACGCAGCCCTGTGAGGATGCTGTCACTTCCCTCGAATTTCCCCGACAGCTGGAGCTACTTTTCCCGGCATTGTCCGGAGTCCCTCGCGTTTCCTGCTCCGGGCTCCGCGACCTCCCGGGCGCCCGCCCCGCTTCCTGCAGCCGGCGAGGCGGGCCGGACGCG